TCAGGACTCCTGTGAAAGATGGCAAGGCTGGCCAGGCAGAGGCGAGAAGAAAGAGTTCTGCAGGCCTGTGTGCAAAGACCTAGCGTCTGAAACGCACAGCGCGTTCTGAGCACCCCTGGGACCCATGCAAAGGGCACGGTGGGTGCGGAGGCAGGACCACCAGACCATCTGCTAGAGTGACCCTTACCTGGAACACATCTGTGCAGAACTTCCTTACGTCTACAATGTGCCGGTCTCTTCTTGAGGATGCGGCAGTAAGCAGGAAGGCGAGCTCGCGGTTCTCCTGGGTGACCCCACGCGAGCAGGACCAGAAGGTGTTTCAGATAAACAAGTCAACAGTGACAAGAGCCAGAGGTGGCCGACGAGCCCCCAAGCCGGTATTGACTTGATTAATCGGATGCACCATTAGGTATTTCCCAGATGTCATCTCCTGGAAGAAGCCTCCCCCAGCCCATTGGCCAGGGACAGGGGTCTCAGGCACAAAGCTTAGCATCCAATTGAGATGGAGAGTTTTCTTCTCCACACCACCCACCAGCCCGCAGACCCTGGGGAAAGGCTGTTAATCCTCTAGACCCAGCAGGCAATTAGTACTTACTACAAGCTAAAAAAATTATCTGTTGAAGAATTCTATGGGCTTGGGATAGAGGACGTATCCAGTTGATTCCAGCTGGGCTTGTAGCTTAGTGGTAGTAGAGCACTGGTGGAGAAGCCTACTCCAGTCAGACTGATGGATCTGCAGATTCAGAAAGGATCGTGGGGTTCAAGTCAGAGTTTTTAAAACTTCAATGTACGGACCATTGGTTGAAGAAGCCATGAGTGGGAGTGTTCCTGCCCAGGACAGTGTAAGCATCATAGAGTGCCATAAGATTCTTTGGTTCTTTAGGAAGTAACAAAAAAAAATCAACACTAGAAAAAGAATTTTAAAAAGAAAACAGCCAAATCACACAAACAAAAACAAAATCCTCTTGGTGAACAAGAATGACTTTGGGCCTGAGATAGGCGGCTCACAGGATCAGAGGGAAAACTGGTGGCCAGGTTTAGAAAAGCCAGATCCATAGCATGTCAGGGTATTTGTGGAGCAGGGAAGAAAACCAGCATGCTCAGGAGCCGCTCCAAGCCCTTACTCGTTTCAACGAAGCCCAGGAAGAGAAAATACAGCTGGCGTAACTCAGGGCACAGACCCGCTTCTCGCTTTTTTACAGGTCACCTTAACTGAGACCAGGACTACACTCAGGGGGAATTCTGCACAGGACAGGATGTTGGAAAAAGAGAAAATGGACCCTGAGTGGCCAATATCCGAGTGCCCTTTATAATTATGGAGCTTTCTTTACCAAACCGTCAGAATGTAGGTCCAGGAACAGGTGGCCCAGGGATGCTACAGAATCTCCTTCAGCAATTTCTAAAGAAAAATCATTCATGAGCCCCTTCCTGGAGTTATTTGAATGGAACATTGACTAGAAATAGGAGAACAAGCCAGATAACATCTGTCACCATTCTTTATAGATCTACCCCCCCCCCAAAAAAAAAAAAACATTTCAGGAGAACAAAGAAATTATCCATCAGTGTGTCTTTTGTATGTGGGAGTGGGAAGTCACGCCGTCTCATTTTTTGGTGTGGTGGTGACAGAAGGGCAGGGGCTCCGGGGAATGAGCTGTTGGGATAACCAGTTTCAGGGTTAATGGGTGACGTCTAATTTATGTACAGATGTGTGTTCAGTGTTGCAGGTGCACGTCAAGATAAACATCCAGACACGTTGCTGCGCTGCAGGCAAGTTGCCCTCTTGTTGGAGCACCTGGGATTTGCAAATTTGGAGAAGGCATCCCCACCCAAGCAACTGTCAAGAATGATGGATGCTGAACTCATAGGTGAGAGGGAGGCAGGAAAGAGAGGGCTAAGCTCTGGGAACCTACTCGTATTTAGTTCCATTCTCTTTATCCTTAATTATCAGGGACTGGCGACTAGAAGTTCTATCCAGGATGCCCAGGAAGCCAAAACACCAGAGAAGTTATTGGAGAGGTAATAAGAACAGCTTAGAAATTATCTGCAGGAGAGAGGAGAAGAGGAGGGGGCTGATAATGGGGGACAGAGAGACAAGGGAGCAGAGAACCAAAGGGAGAGACGGAGAAGTGATTTTTGCAAGTCAGGAAAGAACAGGATAATTTCCCTTTGAAACAATTGTTTGCACAAGAAATTCTACTCTCCAGCTGTAATACCAATCATCCTTCTCCTGATTTTCAAAGCTCAACAGTCTTTTCATGGCCTTCCCAAATTCCCCTGGCCAATTCATCTTTCCTTTCACTTCCCATTCCTTTGTTTCTCGTTTAAAAGCTAAAGGAGACTGGCAAACAGGCATTCAAACTGTTACAGCCCACAGACACCATGTCCCCAAGTTTTAAAAGAAATAACAGCAGTCCTTTTCAGTCCTCACCAGATTGAAAACCATTTTCACATACGCAATCCCATCCAATTGCCACCTCAGCCCTGTGAAATAGGTCGGGCAGGCAATGTCTTTCTTCCAAGATAAGAAAACCGTGATAGAGAAATAAAGACCTGGGTCCAAAATGATGCAGCCAGCCAGTCAGGAGAGCAGTGGAGAGGCAAAGCCCAATCTTCCCAAAGCAAGTTCAAGTTCCTTTCTAACACCACACTGCCTGAAGTCTGTGCTCTTCACCACTCAACAGAGGGAAATGTGATTCTTCTGGAAAAGAGGGAAGGAGCTGGAACTGAAGCACTGCTCCTGAGGATGGGGATCCCCTGCAAATGCTCTTCTGGTGGGGAGATACCATCCAATCCATCCATTCTGCAATGGTGCACAGAGGCATTGATACACAGCTATGCTGGGCAGGTGGCTGCTTCTCCTCCTTATTGTGTAGCACTTATAAGTTGTGACCCATCCCCAACTCCAAAGACAGCCTCCAGTTGGTGGTCTAAACCCATCAGACAATCCCATCAATTTACCATAAGAATTGGTCCAAGGGTGAACAATAACCCAAATTTAATTCAGCTGGGCCATGCTTTCTCCTGGGAGTCACAGTGGCGGGTTCGAGTTGGCTTAATGAGAGTGAAGCCCAGGACCCTGGCCAACTTTATGGCTGTGACTGGCAGCCACACAGGCCCTGCATTGACTAGATCCCTATCATTGATTTGATTCTCTGGTTTTGTCTTCTTGAAGGTCTTCATAATAATTGTTAACTTCAGGGGCCCCAATTTTTTTCTTTCTTATTAAGCCCCAAACATTATATAGACGATTCTGCACGGACTTTGATTTGTTAGTGGAAAGTTAAAACAAAGAAACAGGCAGGCTGGCTACAGTAGGCTGCCATCTTGCAACCATGAGAAAAACCAATCACGAGAGCAGAGCCAACATTCAGAGGAGGACAGAGCTCAGAGTTCACAGTGAGCACAGAATGGGTAAGAGAGCTCTCAATGCAACAAACTGACATTTAGAGTCACAGCAACAGGGAAGGAAGGAGCGACCTCAGCCACCTCCTCCACACATTCCGCACTCCACCACAGGTTTTCTATGAACTTCGTCCTGTCCACTCACTCCAGCACCTAGGGGTACCCCTGCCTCATTAGCAACTTGACCAAATCAGCACCTTCTTTCTGACCCCTTGGCATGCAACACACTCAGCCCTGAGGTGGGCTGAACCATTTATGTGCCTTACAGTGTCGACTTGGCCAAGAGGCATAAAAATGGTAATGTTTGGAGCTGGACAGGACCCTATAATTTTCAAATGGAAACAAAGCTCACAGGGTAAGTGATTTGTCCAGGGACACACAGTGATGCAAAGGTCTTCCGAAGCCCAGGAACCATTCACACGTGTCTACGTACAAGTTAAGATTCTATCTTTCTCCCTATGAAAGAAAATACATGGCCCAGTTGTAAAGGGTTTGGTACACAAAACCATTCTATCTGCTCCAAGACAGACTCTCCAGCTGTTTACAAAAGTCCAAATCAGCTCCGTGTTCTATTCTGAGAAAACTTACCTATTCCCTAATGGAATTTAACCATTCATATTCTGTACTGAATTGTCTGGGTTCACAACCTGAATTATTCCACTGACTAACTCTGTGATCTTAGGCAAGTTTTTCATATCACCATGATTCAAATTTCCTCCTCAGTAGAACAAGATGATGGTATCTACCACAGAAAGGTGAAAGGATGAAGTAGGTTAAAGAATATAAAGCACTATAATAGGACTTGCACATAGTCTGTGCTTAATGAAAGTTAGCTATCGTTACTCTTATTATTATACTCTCCCTTACAGCATTGCTCATGGGTTGTCAAGGATTTGCTCATGATTATTAAGTTGACATTTTACTTTTTACAAATGTCTGCTTTACCTTCTCCCAAAAACAGCTTCAAGAGATGATTAAATATGATTTCTACAACACCTAGGACAGGGCTCTGCTCTCAGTGAGTACTCAACAAAGAATTGTTGATTTGTTGATTTGTTGTTGTTGTTTGGTACCAGAGATTGAACTCAGGGGCATTCAACCACTGAGCCCATCCCCAGCCTTATTTTGTATTTTATTTAGAGACAGGGTCTCCCTGAGTAGCTTGGGGCCTCGCTTTTGCTGAGGCTGGCTTTGAACTCTAGATCTTCCCGTCTTAACCTTTCAAGCTGCTGGTATTACAGGCGTGTGCCACTACACTGGGCTCAAGAATTATTGATTTGTGATTCACCTCCTCCTCTTCTGGCAGTTGGGATGTAAGAATTTCTTCACCAGCTTTAGAAAAGCTTAGCTTTCTGGTTTGCAAGATGCAGAAGCCAACCAAGGTTGGGGTGCAGCTCAATGGTAGACCACTTGTGTAGCGCACATGAGGCCCTGTGGTCAATCTCCAGCCTCACAAAAAAAAAAAAAATTAAGGGGAGGTTCCAGGAACTCCTAGAAGTGGCAGGAAAGAACCCTGTTCTTTGTTCTAAGTGCACACAAAACAAACCGGGCTCCATGATAAATGAAGACATTTGCATTAGATGTCAAGAAGAACTCACTGTGTTGGGCTCTGGTAAACCTTCAAAGGAGGTCATGGTGTTCTCCTTTCTGGAGATGCAGAAATGGTAGAGGCTGCTTTTATCCTAGATGGCTGGAATGAGATCCTTGCTGCTGTCAAGTGGACTGACCGGTGTCTCGTGTTCTTGTGTGGACCTGAAATCAAAGCAAAGCAAAAACACAAGAGTCCTGGAAGTCAATGCCCAGAAGATTCCCTGGAGCACACTCAAGTCACAGAAGCTATGTCCAGGGCCACTTCTTTGTCTCCAGGGTGAGACAGGATTGGGGACAAGTTGTGAGGAATTAATGACATCTTATCCCTGCAGGAATCTGAGCTCCTTGGGAGAAAGGTGTGGTCTAAACACCAGGCATTGTTATAATGAATCAGAATTTCTTCCCTTCAAATCCCTTCATGCTCTTAACAATGAACCATTTCTAGGAAAGGAGAACAGGAGGCTGGAGACATCACTTTCCAACTTTCAGCCAGGCTTCCCAAGCTCTTTTCTTCTCTGGGATCAAATGCCTCCAAATGTCCAGACGCCCTTCTGTCTAAACAGGAAATTCCCTATTCCTGACCTCTACCTTTCCCTTCTTTTCCTTCCTCGGTTTTCTTGACCCTTTGACCTGAACATAATATAAATATTTAATCTCATTTAGTACCTGAAAAATTATCTTTATTTATTGTGTTTATTTAGGTGCAAGTTACTTAAAAACAAAACAGGAACTACAGGATTGGGTCAAATGGGTCTGATTTTTCCACTGGAGGTCATCCTTTGGGGTATTTAGATAATTGACTAATTTCTACCCAAACATGCCACAGATTTTTCCAGCCATCTCCTCTTGGGTCCTTCCTTCCCTCCACGTCTCCTGACAAAATCCTACTCACCTTTCAAAACCTCTTTCAGATAACCCCCCTCTGTGAAGACTTTCCTGGGAGCTGCCCCCTGTCCCCTGCCAGCTCCCCTCCTCCTCTGCCTTCCCAGAGTGCTCTGGGCTGGCCTGGTGTGGGTCTTTTCACAGCATGCAATTCTCTGGGGCCTACTGGGAGGCAATAGGTGTCCCAGCAGGACTCCAGAATCACCCTACCCGGCTTCCCGGACAGTCTTGAGACGCTAGGCAAGTGTGATCTTTTCTCTGGGCCAAAGATCTCATCTTGTTCATTTTGCTGTTGTTGTTGTTGTTGTTGTTTCTGATTTTGAGGAGAGTCTATGCAATCTCTGGGGAATGAATAGAGAAGGAAGAAAAGGAACTGAAACAGTATAATTAATAAAGAAAAAGTTTGGAGAAGTTAGAAGAAAGAGGGGAGGGGAAAGGAAGGGTTTTGTAAAAAGGAGAAAATACATCATTTGAGAGTGGTCGCGATGTCAAAGATCCAGCCCCTAAGTTAGCAGCCCTCACTCCAAGACAAAGCTGCTGTGAGCGTCTGCATTGGGGTGGGCTTCTGTGCTGGGGTGGGGGTTGCTATGTCAGCTAACTCCATGCTCCTGTGCACCCCTGAAGTCTTGGGCTGAGGCTGCGGTGCAGCGACAGGACGAGGCATGAGCGGGCAGGTTCCGCCAGCCTGCCCTGGCACAGTTCGCACAGTCTGCCTCTGAGGCAGGACCAGCCTTTCTGACTGCCCCGCCCCCTCCTCTACTAAGCCAGACCAGCATAGCCTCAGGCTAAAAGAAGCCTGTAGCTGTCAAGCTGGGGGATCAACTTATCCTTTTAACACAAAAGTCAGACCCTGTCATTCTCATCCTGAAGGCTCCCCAGGTGCCCAAGATATAATCCAAGGATTTTATGATGGCCCCGGTGCTGGCAGCTTCTCTGCACTCCGTTCCTACCTGGCCTTCTAAACTGTCTCCTAAAGATACAAACGAGGCTCCCCACTCCGTCGGCTTTGCACTTGCAGTTCCGTTCTGAGGAGCTACTCCTCAGACAGATGCACAGCCTGCACCCTCGTTCATTCCCATGTGCCCTTTGGGAGGCGTCTCCCATGACCACCTCTCTCTAGGTTATTGTGAGACTGAATAAAAATCGTAAACAGGAGGGACTTCATCAACTGGAAGATTCTGTAGAAACCTGAGTCGGCGGCAACATGCTGTAGTGGAAAATCACTGAACTCAAAGCCACAGGGTTGAGCAGGGCCCAAGGACTGATTCCATCACTTACTTCCCCTGGGACTTTGGGCAAGTCATGTAACTTTAGTTTCCTTATCTATAAAAATATGGTCTGTTGTGAAATGGAGATACCATATGTCGGAGCAGCAATCACTGGTTCCCAGTACCAAGCAGATCGTTGGTCTGGATCTGCTCATGACCGAGAAGACACGGGAGCAGCACAGAACACCTGGGTCTGATGAGGCTTAAAAGGTCTGAGAAACAAGGAGGAGTCGGACTGGAGGGACCATGGAGAGAGCAGAAAAAGCAGTTTGGTCCCCAGAGTCACTAATGGGCCTTAAGGATCCATTGATGGTTTTAGAGAAGGAAACAAGAAAAATAAATGTCCTCTGTGAGAAGCAGCTCGGGAATAGGGAATGCTCTGAAATCGTTGGGTTCTCCACTTCAGGGCTCGGAGGCACCCTACTGGAATGAAACGTGTGTTTCAGAGGACCAGGCCTGACTAGCCTCTTCTTTCTCATAGCCAGAGCTCAGAGCAAATATTCTGTCCAGATTTCTAGAACTTGGACCTTGTATTAGTTATCTATGGATACACAACAAATTATTTCAAGAATTAGTGGCTAAAAGCAAAAAATGAGCATTTATTATGTCAGTTTCTGCAGAATAGAAATGGGGGAGGGAGCCTAGGTGAGTAGCGGGGACTCCAGGTCTCTTGCAAAGTTGCGGTCAAGATGTCAGCCGAGGCTGCTGAGGTCCTCGGAGGATCTGACTAGGGCTGGGGATTCAGTTCCACAGCAGCTTCCCCACATGGATGGCAAACTGAGGCTGGTTGTTGGTGAGAGGCCTCAGCTCCTCACCACATAAATTTCTCCAAAGTGTTGCTTGGTGGGACTTGTGACACACGAGGACACGGGCACCTAATCCCCACAGTGAGTGTCCGAGAGAGACTAAAGCAAATGCTACAGTGACTCTGTGGACCCGACCTCAGAAGTCACTCACCATCACTTCATGGTATTCTGACCAACTCGGATCCTCTGGGAGAGGTCTAGGTAAGAGGGTGATCAGGCCGCACTGGGGGCCATCTTGGAGACTGGCTAGCATGGCGAGGGAAGAGTGATGTTGAATAGAAAGATCTTGGAACCAAATAGACCTGGGTTCCAATTCAAGTCCTTGACCACTCCCTGTGTGACCTTCTTTTAGATAAAACAGGTGCCAAATAACAGTGCCAATGCGGCAGAAGGGTTTTTTAAGAAGTCAGCCAAGTGGCGAGTACAGGGTGCTTGGTCCAGTTCTCAGGTACGGAGCCTGGTGAAACAAAGGCGGCTTTGCTTATTGGTATAATGGACGGACGAGGAGGTGGGGCACAGTTCAACATTCGGGTGGTCAACTGAACAATGCCCTGCACTCAAGGTATCCGGGCCTCATCCCTGCAATATGTAAGCACGTCACCTTGATGGCAAGAGGGACAGTGCAGATATAAACCTAGGACTTGGGATGGGGACATTATCCAGATGAGCCCAATCATGTCATCACAGGCAGTAAAGGCAGAGCCAGGAGAGAGCAATGTGAGAGCAAGAGCAGAGGACTGAGTGGCACGGCCAGGAGCCAAGAGACCCAGGTAGCCAACAGCTTGAAACCGAAAGAAGCAAGGAACAGATTCTCCCTGGGAGCCTCCAGCAAGAACCATCCCTGTCAACACCTTGGTTTGGGGATCACTTCTGGCCTCCAGAATAAAAGAATAAACTTGTTCTCTTTTAATCCACTGTTTGCACTAATTTGTTATGGCAGCAAGAGGAAACTAACTCAATCCTTTGAGAGTGCCTAACTGACACCTGGGGCTTAAGGAGGAGGCTGGACGGGGAGAGAAAGGACAAAGGAGGAGCAGGAGGAAAAGGTGCACGTTGCTGAACCTCTAAGGACCACCCGCCACCCTCTTGCAAGTCGGGGTGAGCCCTAATTCTCTAGGCGCTGGAGGTGAGGGAAGGAATGGATTTGGGACCCAAATGCAAATGAGGTAGAAAGCAAAGGGCAAGACAGTGGTTTTGCAGCCGACTGGCCAGGCCATGGACTTGACATTGACAAGGGGAGCAATCTGCAGACTGTTTTCTCCCCTCTGAAAAAGGACACGGAAAGGCTCCAGGAAATGCCACCTCTAAAAACCTTGAGGAGGTGAAGAGGAGGGGGAAAGACAGCTTGTGTTCCTCTGTCCCACTTGCTGCTTTGTGACACTGAGAAAATCTGTTTTACCTCCACTGGCCTCAGTTCCTCTGTCAAATGAGACATTTGGGGATCACATAGGTGGATGCATGCAGGATATTCCATACAACAAAACAGTAAGCCATTAGCACATGGCAGCTGTTATTATGGTAAGCAAGTTCATTTAGAAGCATTTATGAAGTACTTAATGTCTATGAGACAGTGTAGACACTTGATAATAAGACATTGTCAGCTCCTTGTGAGTTTATGGTCAAGTGCAGGACACAGGCAGTTCCGACAGGGCATCGAGGCCAGGCTGGAGAGTCCTAAGATTATGGGTACTCTAATAGGTAAGCAAAGAATTATTTCTGCAGCAAGACAGACTTCAACCCCATGGTCAACCTGAGAGCACTATGTGGATCTAAAGAAGACAATCAAAGTCTGGTCATTCCTTTTCCACATGTGTGGAAAAGTCACCATGTGTAAGACAGCAGCTATGGCTGAGGATATGGAGCTCAGTAGTAGAACACTTGCCTGGCATGCATGAGCCTTGGAGTCCATCTCCAGTACCACAAAAGATAGAAAAAAGAAAGGAAGGAAGGAAAGAAAGGAAGGATGGAAAGGAAAGAAAGAGAGAGAGCAACTGTTCTTGGTTGGTGTTAAGATTTCAGTAAAATAGCTGGGTGTGGTGGCGCATGCCTGCAATCCCAGCAGCTCCAGGAGCTGAGACAGGAGGATGACAAACTCAAAGTCAGCCTCAGCAAGGCCCTAAGCAACTTAGTGAGACCCTGTCTCAAAAAAAGAAAAGAAAAAAAGGACGGGGGTCTGGTCTAGGGCTGTAGTTCTATGGTAAAAGTGCCCCTGGTTAAATCTTCAGTACCAAAAAAAAAAGAAAGAACAAAAAAAGGATTTCGATAAAATAATCCACATAGTAATGGCTCCATTAGTAGCAGTTACTCTTATTAGTATAGAGAACCCAAGCTTTGGAATTATGCAGTTCTTTATTCCAAATCTAATGGATGCACTTACAATCTGTCTGATCTTATAGTTTAAATTTACTAAGTATCCACTGATCATCCATGAAACCAGAATGATCCCCCTTACTTACAGAGATGTCATGAAGTTGAGAGATTTTTCATGCAGTGAGCCTGGCACTTGGTAGATTCCATAAAAGAAAGGTACGTTGGCCAGGCTCACCTGTAGGGAGAAGCTCCCCAGAAACTGAATGATACTGGAGGGTCGTTCTGTTCCCTCAACTTTTGTTGCTCACCTGGTTGGCCCTGCTCAGAGAGATGGCCAAGGTGCTAAATTCTTGCTCCATACCAGACATGGCTAATAGAAAAAAGTAAATACTGAGCCATGAGCAGTGCCAGCCAGAATACCTACAGGATCCTCTGTTTTGTGCACAGACACCTTCAGGCAGCCTTGCCAGGGCCCCCCTCTGGTCTGGTGCAAAGGCAGTGCCTCCATCTTGAGGAGCCACACTGACTTCTCCCTGACAGAGGCTCTCATTGACCCTCCTTGCAACCCAGCTGAGTGGGGCAAGAAGGCAGATGTGTCCTGTCCACAAATAAAACCCCCATGATCTCCCAGGATAGCAAAGAAACAGAAGCTTCTATCTAAGCGCCTGTGTTAGGGGCTGGGCTGAGCTGCCCCCTTAAGAAGGGACTAGTACTATTATACCCATTTCCTGGTAAGTAAACTGAGGCCCAGAGAAATGAAGTAGCTTGCTGCAGATGGTAAGAATCAAGATTCATATCTAGGCATCCAACTTTGGAAAGGTTTTAGTCAGTTTTTTTTTTTTTGCTGCTGTGACTAAAGGACCCGACCAGAACAATTGTGGAGGAGGAAAAGTTTATTGGAGGGCTCACAGTTTCAGAGGTTTCAATCCATAGACAGCAGGCGCCACTTCTCAGGGTTCAAGATGAGGCAGGACATCATGGTGGAGGGAAGCAGCAGAGGGAAGAGGCTCACATGATGATCAGAAGCAGAGAGACAGACAGACTCCACTCAACAGATACAAATATATGCCCAAAGCCACACCCCAATTCCCACCTCCTCCAGCCACACCCCACCACCCCAGTTACCACTCAGTTAAGCCCTGACAGGGGATTAATCACTGATTGGGTTCAGACTCTCACAACCCAATCATGTCTCCTCTGAACCTTCTTACATTGTCTCACAAGTGAAGTTTGGGGGGACACCTCAATCCAAACCACACAGAAGCCCTGATTTTCCCACCAGGGCATGCTGGCACAGCCTGAGGGACCCACAGTGCCAGAAATTGCCCCCTAGCTAACCACGGACTCGGGGAGGCTAAGAGGTAGCAGATGCCCACATGGGCATCTGTGGAATCCCAAGAGGCTCCCTGCCTTGATAGGATCCATCCAGACTCCTCTAGCTCCTGCAGGACCCTGTCCCCCGCCCTCCTTCAGAGCCTTCTCCATTGCTCCTCCTTCCTTTGAGGAGCTGGAGAGAAATCTGCTAAAACCCCTCCCCAGCACCCCCAGGTCAGCCCTGGGGGAAAGGCCTTCTTGGCTAAGGACACCAAAAAACTTGTCAACCTTTCCCAAGCCCTTCCCAGGCAGGGAATTAGAGCAAGAAGACAGAGGGGGAGGAGGAGCCATTGGCCGAAGCTTCCCCCCAAACACGGAGCCAGTCCAGAGCGTCCTGAGGAGTGGAGCCCAGCAGGTCGCAACTCACCCAAAGCTCCTCCCCTGCAGCTGCTAATTATAAAGGAGAGTTGAAAGAAGGCTCCCAACTCCACATGACAGTGCCATTTGGTCTTCACCCTCCTTCTCTCCTCCTCCCTTCCTCCTCTCGGTTCCCTTTCCTTTTCTCCCCCCTTGTTTGGTTCCTGGCAGTGTGCTCAGGGTGGGTGTGGGTCAGCGGCGTGCACAGAACCACCTGCTTCCTGGAGCCACAGCATGGACTCTGCCTCCTGACCCAACACCATGGCCCGTCCATGGATTCCCTTGAGAAACAAGCGAACAAGTGGCTTAGACTTGTCCCCCTCCTGCTGTCCTCACCTCGCACTGTACAATGTGCTCACTGATTCACAAAGACACTTAAGAGCATTCTTTACCCCAACAACCCCATATCATACACTATTAATAATTTGGTGTCGTCAGCTCATGACACTCTCAAAGCTTCTATGTCAAGGTTCTCGTATCAAGAACATCCCCCCCAAGATCCTTAACTGTAATTGACATCAGCATAGGCTTAAGGAAGGGACGTCACCGTGGGGGGCTGAGGGATGGATGAGGTGCCACCCACTTTATAGATGAGAAAAGTGAGGCCAAAAGCATATACCACTATGTCTGCAGACTTTAGCTAAATGGGAGCTAGAGGGGTGGTAAAGAGAAAGGGATGCCCTGGCAGGGTCAACAGAGAATTAGCAGGGACCTGGGTGGGTCAGTAAATTGGACACACAGGGAAACCAACAGGATTCCACTTGAAGTCTCCAGCTTGACCAAATCCAAGCTTTTTGGGATCTGGAACCAGGTGTGCTGTGTGGGTCTGGAGAATAAGATGCTGGTGGACCCACATGGCCCCTCACTGAGGTGGAATGCATGTCCCCAGACAAGGCAGCCAAGAAACAGAGGAGGAGACGCTTGCCAGAGCGACTCAGGAACACTTGATTCCATGGTACGAGTCCAGCCATGCAAACAGGGAGAACTTGCCAGAGCTGGAAACCTGTAACCAGCTGTTTCCTCTCCACCCCAGTCTTCACACGACTTCATCCTGGTCAGGTCCTCTGACAGCTAGGATCCAACACTGGCAAATCCATCTACAACAGAAGGATCCAGACACTACTGTTCACAGGCAGCCGCAGAGCTCTGTGCAACCTTTGAGATGTTCCTGCAGCCTTGCAGTCATAACTGGCCCTTTTTCCTGGCTCCCGGTAGCCCGGGGCAACCAGGCCATGCTCCCCATACCCGGTGCACAGTCCGAAGTCATCCCTAGACCTGCCGAGATCTGACCAATGGCCACCAGTTTCCCCAGACCCGGAGCCCAGAGCCTCTGCTCTCCGCATCCACAGAGCCCTCGCTAGACACCCATTCTCATGGGCTGGAACTGCTAAGATCTGATTTGTTTTTCTCCAACCACACCTAAGCTCCCTCAGCTTCTATCTCACGCTTTATCTTCTCAGAGGCTCATCAAAGAGAAAGAAGAGGAGTGTGATGAGAGTAGTTCTAAATAATGGCATAAGGAAAGGGGGAAAGATCTACAGACGAGTCTAAGAATCCCTCCCTGCTAGCTTATTCTTCCAAATGACCTAGTGGGAAATTTAATTAAGAAGATCAGCTGGTCAAGTTTTGGGAGGGCCTTTGGAATTCTCCAACAATCTCCAAAGGACTTGAGCAATGTTTGGAAACAGAAAGTTAATCATTGTGGAATCATTCAAAAACAAAAAAATTAAAATAAAAACACTGAAATGACCTGGCCCAAATATTGCTTCCTCTTAAGATACAATTCCACACTGACATACACCCTATTTGTCTAGGTGCCCGGCTTCCTACATACAAATAAATGTGTGCCTACAACATCTGCAGGGACTGAAGATGCCAGAGATTGTGCCCACCCTGATGGAGTCACCAGAATCAACAAAGAAAATATAGAACATTCAGTTTTGCATTTTAGGTAAACAACAAATACTTTTTAATATATATTTCTCAAATATTGAATGATATATATATATATATGTGTGTGTGTGTGTGTGTGTGTGTGTGTGTGTGTATATATATATATATATACACTAAAACTTGCTATTTATCTGAAACCCAAATTTAACTGGACATTCTAGATTTTATCTGGCTTTCTAGCCATAAACATCTACTTCTAGGTCCCCAACAGAGGTATCCTGACCCAAGCCCATGTAGATATTCCCCCATGAACATGACCCTTGACCCATTGTGAATTTTCCCTATTTTCATATAACCATCTGACATTATCCAGGGCTGAGGATCTAAGGAATAGCAGACTTTTTTCCAGGCCTTTCTGCATCTGCCTGGCTCCTCAACCCACTCAGGAATGTGGTCTGTGACTCAAAGGACAAAGGGAAAGGGGTGCTCAGATTCTCAAAATGTCAAAGACCTTTGGCATTCCAGAAGGTTATTATATCACTCCTTCTAAATTCTTCCTCTACTGCAGCCCTGGGAGAGGATGTTTGAGTAAGGACAGGATGAAAGTATTGGCTCATATAAAAAAGTTTAATTCCCAGGTGCTAGAAAAAAAAATCAAAGTGGCTTAGATTGCTCTTTCTGGTTTCTAAGGTAACATCACAGAGATGGCCTGGGCGGAGGTGGTGCTGTCTTAGTAGATCTGTGGCTAACAGATGGGAGGAGTGGTTTTGTGCCTGTTGAGAATGGCTCCCAACCCTGCACTCTGGGCACAGAGACTGGCCATGTCATGGGGCATCCCAGGATATTCCCACGCCCTTTCCCTGCACACAGCATGGACAGCTGCGCACCCTCCAAGTCGGTGAGCTCTCTCTCCTAGTAAAGAGGAAAAAAGATCTCCCAAGGGCTTGCGAGGGTCCCTGGAAGCATCTCCCGTGGGGCTTTTCTCTTGCTGGGCACGTGTAAACAAGACTCCCTCGTGTTCTGACTCACTCTGGAATGAGCTCCACTCAGAGCCCGGCTCTCTCTGGCAGCTTGGCAGTCAGCCTGGGAAGGTGAGGGAAGGAGCACTCTCCCTCCGCGTCTCAGGCTCGCTGGCCGGAGACTCACGCAGCCAGCCTTCTCGCTCCAGGTTAGATGGGGTTCACTTAACCAGCTGGGTGTCTGCAAACATCAGGGGAGTCCTCAAAGGGGCAGAGCGGAGACCCGACACCAGTCGTCTCGTGAGAGCAAGCTCAGGCTTAGGGCTTCCAGATGGGATCTTGGAGGTCTCTGGGGACTCTCTCTTGAAAACCAGAGTCTTCAGGATCGGCAAAAAAAGGTCTCTGGTCTGGTCTCCTAGAACCCAACCAAATTAGAGAAAAGTGATGGAATTCCAAGGGTCCCTGAGGAAAATAAAGAAAAACAGAAGAATAAAATAAAGCAAGAGTACTGCAGGAACTTCCGAAGAGTGAAAAGTGCCTGGCCTAAAAACAGACAGAAGAATGCACCTGCGTCAGGAACTCCTGTCCTTCAGAGTGGACATTACATGAAGAGACACAGTCCCAGGGCTCTCTGTGTGGGTTAAAAAGAGGCCTGGGTGACGGCCAAGTACCACTCAGAATCAGCAAGTCTGTGAAGATGTCTGTGGATGTAGAGGAAACCTCTCCGACGGGCTCAAGGGGAGAGAGAGGTGTTGGAAAGAGTAACAGGAATGGCGTGGAGTCGGACTGTATGGGTTCCTGGGACAGAAAGCCAAAGCTCCTGTGATCCAGGGCCACTCTCACCCATCTTTAACCCATGGGCTCCATCCTCCATGCTTGCTACTAAAAATTTGTTCATCTTGTCCTGATCACAATATCCCAGCCTAAGACTTCTCAGCTCCCACAAGTGTCCCAGCGGGTGCCTTTTTTTTTTGGACCTTCCATTCATACTTATGAAAGAGGAAATCTAATTGGCCCAGCCTCACCTGGGGATGGACCCTCACAGGGTCTGAAAAGGCTCCAAGCACTGACCCTCACTACCCAGGAACAGAGGCAGAACAGCAATGCCTGAAACAGAAGGGAAACAGGAACGAAGAGGAGAAGCAAGGTCACCTTTAGAAGAGGGAACTCTCCACTGTCCATGATGAAGACGAAGAATTTAGACTCCAATCAGAAGCTCATATGGCTTATTGGGCACTATGTGAAGACTCTGTTATATATAATCCTGTTCCATATTCCCTCCAGTCTTACACAGTCGGCTGATATTTCCATTGTACAGATTAGGAAAGCTGAAGCTCAAGATAGTAAATGACTGTGGTCTCTCAGCCACTTGGTAGAGGCATCTGGTCCCACTCAGATTGAATGACTCTTATCCAGTACGTTTTCAGGTCGAGCCAGCCACCAAACAAGGTCCTTCCTCTGCAAGTAGAGTCAAATGAAACTCAGCATTAAAGGGCAATCTACTCTCCAAAGCCCCCTGAACAAGAAGGAATAGGAAGGCGCTGGGCTGATGGCACATACCTATAATCCCAGCAGCTCAGGAGGCTGAGAGGCAGGAGGATCAGGGGTTCAAAGCCAGCCCCAGCAACTTAGCAAGGTCCCAAGCAATTCACTGAGACCCCATCTCTAAATAAAATACAAAAAAAAAAGGCCTGGGATATGGCTCAGTGATTAAGTTCCCCTGGGTTCAATTCCTGATATCACCCTACTCCCCACCCCAGAAAAAAAGAATAGGAAGGGAGAGGAAGGATGAAGGGAGGAAAGTGGATTTTTTTCTTTGAGGAAATAAGAAGACAGCAATGGCAGGAAGGTGGGAGAAGTCTGGCCTCTGAGAACCCTGGAGGAGAGTGGGGGCAGGGGAGAAAAGTGGAATCCAAGGCCACAGAAAAATACCCACTTTAAAGGAGTGATTTTGTTGTTGTTCTTTGTTCTTGTACCGGAAGTGCCTATTAAAAAAAAAAAAATCCTGCTGTTGCTCCAGCAACAGATAGAAGCAGAGCCCAGCAAAGGCTTTAGCAGGTCCAGAGCATTTTCTATCCCCAACTCCCCAACATTTCTATTGTCAAGGGGAAAAGGGCGGAGTCCTGCCCAGGCACGCTGCTGAGAAGACCCAGCAGAAACTTGAGTTCCACTTGAACTAGAACAAAAATTAAAGACAGGAATAGTGAAACAGATGGCAGGAGTACTCTGGGCTCTGCCCAGTTATACCTGAGGACTGTGACCGTGACAGACCAAAATCAAGCCCTGGAGAGAATACGCAAGAAAAGGAAGAAGAGAGATATTCAAAGCTGAAACGGGTGTGAGTGTGCACACACACACACACACACACACACACACACACTCCTAGAGACCCACAAACACACGCAGAAATAGAGACCAGAGAGAGAAAGGAGACTGTCTTGTTTATCCTCGTGAAGAACATCTGGATTTCTCAGTGAGACCTGACTTGGGTCTTTTTCTCATTTTCCAGCTGCACCGAATGGTGAAATGCCTGGCGTGAGGGGCACAGTGAGTCAGCCCAGATTAAACTCTGTCCCTCTGCCCTCCGCTTTGCTCTTTGCCAGACCACACAGCTTCTCTCCCTGTCCTGCCAAGCTGGCTTAGCTCACCATCCAGGTAATGCACTTCAAAGGCACCAGGGTGAGCTGGGACGGGCTGGGCCAACCTCAGGACAGGAGCAGATTCCAAAAGGCACTGGCCCAGACGCTCCTCATCAATTTTCTTGAATGCCTCTCCCCCACCTCCCTCACTTCCCTCACACTTTGAATAACCCCTGGAAGTCAGAAGTGGAAAACCCAATTTTTCACCAAGGCTGTCAGCTTCTCCGGCACCGCCGGCCTGTGCGACTCTGTTATTGAGAGGTTGACCAGATGTCAGCCAATGTCAAAGCCCAGTCCTGCAATATGACTCTGGATGTTCTTTCCCGGAGTGGATTATACTATCTAGGACAGTCGGAGAGGCCTGGGGGCGGGGGTGGGGTGCTCATATGACCAGAGAAACAGAACATTGATTGTGTATTGTAGGGGTGCCCCTGCGTGTGGACCTTACGGCCTCAAAGCCAGTGGCCTGCATCTTTCTTAAGACATCACACTTTTGTCACATTCTACTAACTATGGGTGTCTCCCGTGGAAAACCAGAGATCTCTGCCATCAGGAGACATCCTCTTCTTTGTGTCCCAGGCAACCCGAAGTGAAGCCCAGTGCTAACGTGATAGTGTTAGGAGTCTACAGAGTTGGGTTCCTTTGCTGGTGGCCTCCTCTGACTTCTTTGAAACACTACAGAACTTGAGAATTAGGAAAGTAAAGTCACCACATTTCTTCCCCTCTCCAGGTCTTTCTTCCTTGCCAGTTGGGTTCACGCAGGAGATTCAGTACTGGTCCAAGAACTCAGAGCCTAGGAATCATGGATGACCCCTGTGTAATCCTGGACATGTCACTTGGCCTCTATAATCATGTTGCTTCACACCACTTTCTGCTTGACTCAGGAACTCAAATTATTTAATTTTAATTCATTTTAATTCAAATAGTCAAATGTGCCTAACAGCTATCCTATTAGAAAGTACAAACTTAGAAAATTTCCTCATTTTCCAAAGGAATTTAGAATAAGAACAATCCTACCTCTTGGATTGTCATGAGGATTAGATGAGACAATTATTGAAAATGCTTCATTGGATTATCTGATGTATAATGGGCAATGTTACAGAGAGATCAGTATGTTTCTTTAATTAACATTATTAGTATTATATTAGTATTGCCATTGTCATTATCATCCAGCTTAAATTTTAAAAAAGAAGAAGAATTTAGAAATCTTCCTGTTTAGCCCAATTTTACTGGGAGAGAACCTAAGGACAAAAATGGCATTGATTCGACAAGAACTATGAGAGGCAGAAACCCAAGATTGTCCCCAACAATCCATGTTCCTGTGTGATCCCATCCCTGGGGGGTGAGTGAGACCTGTGACTTGCTTTTTACCTCTAGACTCTGGCAAGGGTTATAGAACATTGTTCCTGAGGTTGTTACCTTATATGGTAAAGGTGAAAAGATTTTTGCAGACATAATTAAAGTCCCTGAGCAGGTGACTTTGAGTTGCTCAAAAGGGTAAGCCTGACATAATGAGGAAAGCTTTTCTTTTTTTTTTTATTTTTTTCTTTTTTTCTTTATTTTTTTTAACTTTTTTTTTAATATTTATTTTTTAGTTCTCGGTGGACACAACATCTTTGTTGGTATGTGGTGCTGAGGATCGAACCCAGGCCGCACGCATGCCAGGCGAGCGCGCTACCTCTTGAGCCACATCCCCAGCCCCCGAGGAAAGCTTTTCAAAAGAGGGCCTGGGTGTTCCCTAAAGTCAGAAACAAGCCCACAATGACTTATTTCAATAGGCCCAGCTAAACCATGCCTACCCCAAATGAGACAAGAAATAGGTGTCATCTGTGGCAATGTATCTCATAGCATAGAAAACTAAATCATATCCTTGAAAATAGTCTGTTGCATTTCCTTTAAGTGTAAGTGGTGTGAGAGAGAACCTTATGTGTGTGTATATGTGTGTGTGTGCACGCACGTGTGTGTCAAACTCTGTCCCTAACTCATCCTGGCTGTGGTCTATTCCTGTGTTTTAGTCAGCTTTTTCACTGCTGTGACCAAAAGACCTGACAAGAACAATTTTGAAGGTGGAAAAGTTTCTTTGGGGCTCCCAGTTTCAGAGGTCTCAGTCCATAGGCGGCCAGTTCCATTGCTCTGTGCCTGAGGTGAAGCAGAACATCATGGCAGAGGGTGTGGTAGAGGAAAGACACTGGGGCGTGGTACCAGGAAGCAGAGAGAGAGAGAGAGACTAAGCTCTGCACACCAAGGACAAAAATATAGACCCCCAAGGCACCCCCAGGGACCCTCCGTCACACCCTTCCTGCCCACAGTTACCCACTACAGTTACCAATCCCTATCAGAGGATTAATGCACTACTTAGGTTAAAACTCTCATAACTCAATCATTGCACCTCTAAACCTTCTTTGGGGGACACCTCATATCCAAACCATAACATTTCACCCCTGGCCCCCAAAACTCACGCCCATCTCATAATGCAAACTGTATTTAACCCATTTTTAAGAGTCCCCATAATCTTAACAGTTTTAGCATGGCCCAAAAGTCCAAGTCCAAAGTCTCCTCTGAGACTCAAGGTGAACTCTCAGCACGAGCCCCTGTAAAAACCAAAAGCATGTTACCTATGTCCACCTTATAAGGCACAGAGTAAACACTTCCATCCCACCAGGGAGAAATAGGGCAGAGAAATAAGGAATAGGGCCTAAGGAAATCCATCTAGGCACACAAGTCCTGTGGCTCCACATCCAGCACCTGGGGCACATCACATCATGATATTTTCTCCAAAGGGCTTGTGTAGCTCCGCCCTGTGGCTTGGCTGGTTGCAGCCCATAGGGCCTCTCTCTTGGTTTGTCTCTGCTTGATTCCTGCAACTTTCCTCAACAGACCTCCTTTTCTTAAAGTATCTCACAAATGAGCTTTTGGGGGACATCTGATATCTAAACCATAACACCTGGCTTGTTGGAAAAGCAAGGTCTGCTTGAGGCATTCATCACACAGTTATTGACCTTCTGTTCTATCCCCTTAACACACCTTGGCCACCTTGACTACCTCAAATTTGTACTTATTTGTTCCTGTCTATCTTCCCTGCTATATTGCAACCCTTGAGTATACAAAGACTTTATCTGACATTTGAGTCGCAGCTCCTGGCTCCATAACTGGTACATAGTAAGTGCTCAATAAATAAATACTTGCTGACTGAAGAAGTTTCCAAGAGGGGAGACAGGCTTGGGATAACTCTTGACTGGTGAAAAAATGTTGACCTACCAACACAGGGAGGAAGGCCATTCCTAGCAAAGGTAGAAAAGAACAGTCCCTGCTTTTTGAGTTTTCCCCCATTTTACTGTAAAAACTCTGGTGGAGCTGGTAGATAGACACACCTGGAAAGGTTTTAGTAACTGACTAAACAAAACAGATGGACACATGGAAGAATATAATCAAAAAGTATCCCATTTAAATCATTTAAACAAAAAGCAATTTTTGAAAAGGCAATGGATCTGAATAGACATCTTTCCAAAGCAGATATACGAGTAGCCAGTAAGTGCATGAAAAGATGCTTAACAGGCAAATCAAAATTGCACTGGGCTATAATGTCATACATACACAGTAGAACGATTAAATCAAAAGTCAGATAACGATACGTGTTGGCAAGCATGTAGACAGTTGGAACCATCATATACTGCTCCAGGGAATGCTCAAGGTATAGTTACTTTGGATACAGTCTGGAAGTTCCTCAAAAAGTTAACCATAGAGTTAGTTACCTATGAACCAACAATCTCTTCCAAGGTGTATCACCCAAGAGAAATGAAAACATATGTTCATGCAAAAACCTGGGCATGAATGTTCGTTTTGGCATCATTCTTAATAGCCAAGAAATAGAAACAATCCAAGTTTCCATCCACTGACAAATGAATAAACAAAATATGGTATGTCCACATAATGGAATATTGTTCAGCCATAAAGAGAAATGACAATATACTGATCCATTCT